CCGCCAGCGCGCTGGCATCCCCCAGGGCTCCGTGCTGTCGTCCATGCTCTGCAACTACTTCTACGCCGACCTCGAGCGGACACGTCTGCCCTTCCTGCTGGGCGCCGACGCTGGCGACGACGACTGCCTGCTGATGCGGCTGATCGATGATTTTTTGCTGATTACCACCGACCGGGACAAGGCGAGAAAGTTTGTGGAGGTCATGCATGGCGGGCTGCCGGAGTATGGCGTGGTGGTGAACGCGGCGAAGAGTTTGGCGAATTTTGAGCTGGTGGTTGGGGGGGTGGAGGTGCCGAGGGTTGGGGAGGGGGCTGGGTTTCCCTACTGTGGCTTGTTGATTGATTGTGGGACGTTGGCGGTCGCGAAGGGGAGAGAGGGCGTGAAGGAGAGCGGTATGTGCCTGCTTTCCTGGCCGTTCCGTTTCTTTTTTTTTTTTCTTGGGAGGGGGAAGAAGGGTGCTGACTATGAGGATGCAGGCATCTTCAATTCCTTGACAGTGGAGTATTCGCGCCGTCCTGGGAAGAACTTCAAGCGCAAGGTCATCAGTAAGTTGAGTCTCTTGCCATTGGCTCATGTTCTGAGGCTAGAGTTCCAATGGTAGCCACTTTCTACGGTTCACATTGCTAACGTACAGTCAAAGACACCTTCAAAATCCAATCCCACCTCATGTTCTTCGACACCTCACACAACTCGCGCCGGGGGGTTCTCGCCAACATATACTCGGCCTTTGTCGAAACAGCTACCAAGATGTGGGCGTATGCCCGATGCCTGGCTAGTCGGCCGAGTACGGCGGTTTTGATCGGTAGGTGACACCTTGGTGTGGACCATAATGGATAAGATGGCTGACTCGGAGGATGGTGAAATGTAGACACAATCAAGGCACTAATCGACGTTGCCTTTGTGCTGCTGACGAGCCGGGTCAGGAGGGAGCGGTACCCCGGCTATGTGTGCTCTGTCAATAAGCAGGAGACTGCTTGGTAAGCTCAGACTATGGAAACCCACATATGTGATTTGGCCTGTATACTAATGTGACGGGTGGCAGGCTTGCTATGGTGGCGTGCAGACAAGTGCTGGTGAGGAAACAGGCGGGTTATGGGGATGTAATTGCATGGTTGGAGGAGGAGACAAGGAAGTGCTCGAGTCGGAAAGAACTAGATGTTGAGGTGTTGGTTGGCGTTGCGAAGGATGGCTTGGTCCATGGTCGGGTTGCTGGTGGGAAAGGGCACTGAGTCCCGTGTAGTGTAGTTAAAACTAATGTATGCTTTCACTGGAGCGGTCACTAAGGGCGTTCCTTGGGCTGGGGATGAATGTAAACAAACACAAACAAGGGCGTTAACGAATAACCTGACAAAACTTGCAAGAAGGCTCTGATTGAACAGTACTTAGCTAAAAGAATAAAATGGAAAGGCGAGCAGAGAAGTGCAAAAACGAATGCCCGGTGGCGGACCGAACCGTTGGGGTGTTCATACAGAAGAGGTAATCCAAAGTTACTTTCCAAGGCAAACGGGTTCAGTTCCTGAGACCCGGCCCATAGAGCCATGCCACCACCGGGCATCCAAAAGCCGACCCGGTTTTGCGGCCTTATCTAGCACGGCCGTGGCTGGAGGTCGGGTTGATCTGCCATCTCATACCATCACGGCCACGCCCCACTCTCTTGGGGTGGAGGGTTGTTGGGAGGGGGATAAAGTTGACGGGTCTTAGGCGATGCATAAGAGCCAGTGGTCATGGCATATCAGTTGGTTGGGCTTGGAAGGCTGTATGAAGTGTCGAGTTGATAGGGCTAGATTATTGCAGTGAAGCGTGATGTGATGTCTGTTTGACAGTGAAAGTGCAGGCCTTAACGGGGAATGAGTGCGGTGAGAGAGACTTCATCATTCATGGCTCATAACCCAACCCCTCTATCTCTGAAATGAAGGCGGCCAACTAAAAGACAACACACTGAAGTAAGAAACAACTACCAAAGAACCAAAAGGAAACACCAAGACCAGGTGTGAGAAGCTTCTGAAATGCAGCGAATAAAACATTCTAAAACAGTAGCAGAGTAAGAATGAAGTACGCGACAAGGATATAAACCCCAAAACTCAAAGCCAAGAGAAACAAAAACGAAACAGGACTATAACATGTATTGCTCTCTCATCATGGTCATCATCTCTGAACGTCAAGGCCGAAGCCATCAAACCAAAACAAGCCCCAACTCCTAATAACCAAAAAATAAAAAACAGAAAACAGAACGGGAGAAAGCAAGGCAAAGAAGAGAAGTAGCCAGGCATGATTTTCCCTTCCACCCATCCCAACCCATTTTTGATCAACCTTCCCATCTAGGTATCCATCCTCCCATCCGTCGGTCCATCCGGAACCAGACCCATCCCATCCCTCCTAATGCCATGCCATGTCATACCGCCCCTTAAAATAATATCCCCATCCACCCTCCATCATCTGTAGTTCTGTCGTGCTTTCCTTTCCATCAAAGATACCCCCCAGTTCCCTCCATGCTGATATCACTGAAGGCCGTCACTCCGACGCCTCCCTTGATGCTTCCCTTGGGGCTGTTATTCCCACCCAGGCTCCTCGCTTCCAGACTGGCCCCGCCGGCATCCGAGACGGGAGTCAACATCCTGCCGAGACCCTTTTCCGAGGGCGTCCCACGTCGGCTGTGGGGCGAGATGTCGACGAGCACCTGGGCGGGGGTGACGACAATCTCGTCCTCACCCTTGCCCAGCTCGTCGCCCTTGCGCAGGACCAGCGGGAAGAGGACGACGCGGACGGTGGTGTTGGCGCCCTCTAGCTCCTCGTTGGTCTTGCCGGCGTTGCCGGACGCCTCGTTCATGAGCGCGGCGTTGAAGGTGACGGTCTCGGTAAGCTCGCCTGTGTCGTCGTACTCGGGCTGCAGAGGCGGCAGCATCATGTATTCGGCCCGCTGGCAGCGCATCTCGATGGCGAGGAGGACGGCCTCGCGCACGACGCGGCGGAGCTGGGACTGGATTTGGTCTTCGAGGTTAGACGGCGGCGGTAATATTTTCGAGAGGGTGTCCAGGATGGCCTGGACAACGGCCTCGGTGTCCTGGTCGCGCTGCTTCTTGAAGGATGGGCGGCGCGAGAGCAGGGTAAGGGTGACGGCGCGCCACTGGCGGACGGCGTGGGGCGGGCCGACGTCGATGAGTTGTTTTTCGAGCTGCTTGAGCTTCTGGCGCTGCTCGCGGTCCATGCCGAAGAGGTAACGGGTGAAGACAAACTCCCAGATCATGGTCATGGTCATGCTCATGAAGATGTCGCGGCGGCGGACGCGGTCGTTGAGGTAGGTGTCGACATTAGAGCCGTCGAGCACCGCGTTGTCGAGGCGGTCGATGAGCTTCTCGTCACTGAATTCGGATGTCAGGCGGCAGGCACGCATGTCGCTGAACTTAGAGAAGCGCAGGACCCATTGTTGAACGTGGGCACACAGCTGTTGGCAGCGGTGATCAAAGTAGTCGATGTCGCGTTTGTTGAGGAAGTCCGGGTCGTCCGCCGGCCGGCTCTGTTCGAGGATCTGTTGCTGCAGCTCGCGGATTTGGGCTGTCGACGCCTCGAGTTCCCCACGCAGCTGGGCGATCTCGACATCCTTGTCCTTCACGGCGCGGGCATGCTGGGCCGCAGAACCGCGGGCCAGGTCGAGTTCCCGCGCGGTTTGGGCATATTCGGACTCGATACGGCGCAGCTCCTCGGTGTGCTTGACGGCGATGGCCGAGGTGGAACTGCGTAGGCCTTCGTTTGTTTGCTTTAGTCGGTCAATGACATCGTTAGCCTCTTTGAGCATGCGGCGGAGCGACTCGATCTCAGACTCGCGCTCGGCGAGAACGGTGGCATTGCGGTGGGTGTAGGACGAGTCGGATTGGGAGCGGGCATCGGCGAGCATGCGGTTTTCTGCTAGGAGTTGCTCGACGCGCGACTCAAGTTCGAGCACTTGCATGCTCTGACGGCGACGCATGCTGTGCGGTCGAGTCGGTGAGCGTGGCGAGCCAATGCGGCCCTCGCCGTAGCCATCCTTGGACCAGTTAGTATCAAATATCGACATATTCCACTTTGGTCAAGAAGAGCGGGGAATTCAAGAATAAAAGAAAAAAGAAAACATACAAAGACATCGGTCATGTCCTTGGCGCGGACCCGACCCTCATTCGCAACGGGCGTCGTGTTCTGTGCAGATCGGGAGGAGTTGGCTGGTAACGGTAATGGCGGTGATTGAAGATGGAGGGTTCCCAGTGCAGCCGTTGCACCCACACCTGCTGCGAACCCCCCAGCAGCAGCAGCAGCAGCACTGGCCGGGTTCTGATTTGATTCTTGCTCGTGGGTCTTGGCATCCAGACCCAGCTGGCCGAGCGAAGCGGACCTCAGGTCTCCACTGGTCCGCTTGTCCATTCGACGGAGCTGCAGCGGGGGGGTGCCGCCGCTGGAGGAACGCATAGTGCCTGGAGTGTCAGGCCGCAACGCAGCTGGGAGTTCCGGGGTGCGAAGGCGGGCGAGGCTGGTATTGGATGACATGCGGTGGGCGGTGGGGTTGGGGTTGGGGTCTGTGGGTCTTGGCGGGCGATGGGCGCTGTCTGAAGGGCTTTGCACTGGAGCACCCCCACCCCCAATGGCGCTGGCATGCGGCGTGATTGCTGCGCTGGTGGACGCTGGGGCCCGCTTCTTGGTGACTTGCAGCTTCTCTGGCTCGGGGGTTTGAGGGGGCGGTGAAGGTTCGCACAGGCGTGGTGTCTCAGGCCCAATCGCCCCAACTGCACTAACAATCCCCCTGTGCTGCCCACTTAGCGGTGACCGCCTGAACCGCCGCTCTGCATCCTCGTTTCGGTTTCGCGGTGTGTGCAATGCTGATCGCTCATCGGGAATTCTCGGCGACAGTGACCGATGGTTTTCTCGGACCGGTGGTGTTAGGCTTCCCCCCGAATCTCGGAGATGCACACCGCTATCGCGTAGGGCATCGGCATCCTGATCGTCCGGAATGGCCAGAGATCGGGAGAGATGGGGCGATCCGGACGAGAAAGCCACTGTCACGGTGGTGCAACTCTGGCGTCTTTGCAAAGTTTCGGCTGTGGCTGTGTGGGGTTGGTGATTCTAGCCGTTGGTCGTCTGCCGCCTCCTCGTCTGAGAGCTCCTCCTGCACTGGCGGTAGGCTGGAGTGGGACCGCATAAAATCCGAAAAGTTGGAAAGAGCCGGCAGTCGGACCCGTTCGTTTGCTGCAGGCTCGGGCCCTTTCTTGTCGCTTCCCTCGGCTTCCTTGCTGGGTTCTCGAGTGTTGAATACCTCCTCATCCGCGATGTCGTCGGGGAAGGAAAAGGCTCGTTGCACCACTGGTTCCGGTGACTCGGACCGGTCCAGTTGTTCTTTCTTCCCCCCCCTCTCCCCTTTTCCCTTTTTTGACGGTGCATCTCCTGCCGCGTACGGGCCTCTGATTGACCTGGGGATGGTCTCGGAATCCATGCGACCCAAGCCGTGTGGGTTGTGAGACTCAACGCTTGTCTCATTTTCCATCGTCGGCCCCTGAAGGTTCAAGCCCTTGTCGTTTTCATGTTCGGGCTGATCCGCTTCCACCGTCGCTGGTTCGAAGCTGCGCTCTTTGATCTCCTCAACCTCCTCCTCCTTCTTCTCCTCGTGATCCACCTCCAACCCCATCAGCTCTGCCTTGAATTCCCTCGTCTCCTCAGAGCCCACACCCCTCTCTGCCGAATTTTGATTGTCTGCAACCACACCCATTCTCTCCCGTTCCTCATGACCACCCTTCTTACTCCCAGCCTCATCCACCAGCAATGACACCCCGCCCGTAAACGCTCTCGCCGCCGCGGCAAGCGCCACACCACCCACTGACTTGTCTTGGTCATGCTCATGCTCATGCTCGTGCTCATGCTCCTCCCCCTTCTCCTTGCCAAGACCCTTGTCCTCGACAAGACAGACCTCCTCCACATCGCAGGCCGTGACGACCGGCTCCGAGAGCTCGGTCGCCTCCAACTGCTCCGTCTTGGCCTTCTTCCGGTGCGCATCGTAGTCAAAGGGCGGTTCGTGATCGACGCGGCTGCTGTCTTGCGCGGGCGTCATGTCCACCCCGAGCTGCCGCGAGGCCTCGACTTGTGCGTCCAGCGAGAAAGGCGTCTGGAGACCGCTCAGAAGTTTCGGCGAGGGCGCATCTTCCGGGTAGGGCTCGGGCGGGTTGGGGATCAGGCCTAGGCCGATCGTCGTGGGCGGGAGGAGGGGTGATTTTCGGAGGGCTTCTGGGACCGCAGGATGGATTTCAGTCTTCTCGGCATCTGGTGATTGCGGTCTGCTGCTTGGCTTGTCTTCGATCTCGTTGTTGCCGTTGGTCTCTTCAGAGCCGGAGAGGGGTGCAGTGCCAGCCACCTCTGTTGTATGTTTTTCGTCCCCAATGGGATTCCCCTGAACGTCCCTGCTAACCTCAGCTGCCGGTTTGTCTTCAACCTCGGGTTCGATTTCGCCCTTCTTGCTGCTCAGACCAAAGTCCTCGCCAGCGAGAGCAACACCCGCGGTAATGGCAGTGGCAAAGCCTGCAGCGGGAAGGATGGCATCCGCCATTTTGCCTTTCTTTTTGTCCGTTTTAGACTTCTTGCCAGTGAAATGGACAACTTCCTCATCCTCTCCATCTTCCTCTGCTGCGCCTGCGGAAAGAACGTCCACGGCTTGGTGATCATTGATATCTTGGACGCTACTGGGCTCTTCCATCAACGCACGAGACGTTGGCGCTTCAAACTGAATGGATTCCGGAGCGGCGGGTGGCTCCTGGACTTGGATAGGTTCCAGAACATCAGGTGTCGTCCCGAGTTGAATTGGCTCCGGGGCCTCGCGGGTTTCTTGGAGATGAACATGTTCGAGAGCAGACGACTCCTCCATCTGCGCCGGCTCCGGAACGGCGGGCGCCTCAACTTGGACATCTGCCGGCTCGGGTTCAATTTGTTTGCTACCCTTGCGTTTCTTGTCCTTTTTTGACTTTTTCGTTGGTGGTTCCCAGATGTCTTCCTGCGCCTCTTGGCTGACTGCGGCGGGAGGCTCGGCAACTGACTCAGCAACTGGCTCAGCAACCGGTCTAATGATAGCCTCGACGACGGGTTCTGCGACGGGCCCAGACCCAGGCTCGGGGGCAGCCTCGAAAACGCTTTCAGTGACAGGCTCTGGGGGAGCTTCTGCTGAGAGTCCAATAGGATGCATTAGAGCACGTTCGGCAACAGTTTCGACAACGGGCTCGGTCGCAATTTCTGTAGCAGGATCGATGGTAGGCTCCGCCTTAGGTTCGAGGACGGCCTCGACCTCGGGTTCTAGGTCAGGCGCGGGGGTCTTGCCTTTTCCGTTTTTTTTCTTGTCTTTCTTGCTCTTCTTGGGCGGGACGTCTAGAGCTTCTTCCAGTTGCCGTTGTGGTTCCGCTGCGACATCGAGTTCCCTTGCTTGAGCACCCGCTGTTGCCGGATGGACTTCTTGACTGGGCTCCTGCGAGACATTTTGCTCGATGGGATCGGTGGCAACTGGTACTTCGGGCTCAGTTTTCAACGGCTCAACAATGGCGGTGCTCTGTTCGGCTTTAGGAATATGTTCCGTGGCGGACTGTGATGTGGGCTGAGGCTCAGGCGCAACCCCCACTAGCGTAGAATTCAGCTCCCTTGGTTTGGCATCGGTAAGTTCGGTGATGTCCTCTTGTGGTTGCCTCTGGGTCGCTTTCTGTTCGTCAGCGACAGGTATGACGGAAGCTTCATGTTCGGCAACTGTTTCCTTCGGTTCCCGGTTCTACCTCGGTGCCCTTCTAAATCTTCGCCCCCCATTGGTCGGGGTAGGTCGGGGCATCGGTCGATCTGAGTTTTCCGGTTCCGGAGACCCCCCTCAACCGCAGGGCATTGTCTCCTCAGGCTCCTTTGGTCTCGGGGCATCCAGAATAGTAGGCTGGGCGATCCCGGGAACAGGGATGGGCTCTTCAATCACGGCGGGCAAGGGCTGTTCAGTTGTCGCCTCTTCAGCGGATGAAGGTTCGAGAAGGGGCTCGAAGCACAACAGCTGGCTCCTCCGCAACAGGTGGTTCTTCAGTAGCAAGAGCGGCAGGCTCAGAATCATTGGCCTTCCTCTCCGGTATTGTGAATGTTTCATCGACGGCTGGTGGCGGAACCTGCTCAATCATCTCGGGTGAGAAAATCTGGACCGTCTCTGCAGGAACCTCAGCGGGAGGTTCGGCCTCAAGCTCTCGTGAAACGGGCTCTCCCACGACAGTTGGTGTGCTCGTACTCCGATCCTTGAGATCGATGGCTCTGGGTCCCTTGCCCTTTTTCTTTTTCTTGGATTTCTTCGTCGGGGTCTCCAGGATTTGCTCAGGCTCGGGTTGTGCTTCTAGAATCGGCTCGGCTTCTTTGTCTGCTTCAGCGACGATGGGTATTGCCTCATCAGCGATGGCAGGTTCCACCCGAGCTTCGACAGGAACCTCAGCTTTCGGCCCCCCCGGTGATTGGTGGCTCAGTGATTGAGACCGGCTCTTCTGGTGTGGGTGTCGGCTCCTCGGCGGGGAGCGCGGATTCCTCTGTAGGTACAAGCGCTTCCTCGGTTGGAATGACGGGTTCTTCCGTAGCCTGGGCGGAAGCTTCCTCCGGCTTAGGTTCAGGGGCGGGAGTTGGCTCGTCAGGAACAGAATCGCCTGGCACCTCGGGAGCGGGCTGAGTTGGCACTTCAGTAGTAGGCTCATCGGGGACCTCAGGAACGGGAGAATTCGGTACATCGGGAACAGGAGCGCTCGGTACGTCTGGAATAGGAGAGCCTGGCTTTTCGGGATCACCGGAGGATTCATCGGCAGCGGGAACCGGCTCCTCGACAACCAGCGCGCGGTCGTTATCAAGGGGGGTCTGTTCGGGAGGCGGGGAAGAAGTCATTTGTTCGGTTTCAGGCTCGAGTTCAGAAGCCTTTGCGCCTTTCCCCTTCCTCTTTTCGGACTTCTTCGTCGCTGGTACTTCCTGAGTCTCTTCGGCCGGAGTTACTTGTTGGGTAGGCTCAGGGTTAGATTGGATGGTCTCAAAAACAGGTTCGGCCTCTGCCTCCGTGGAAACAACAATCTGCGGGAGCTGGCTGGATTCCTCGGGAACGGCGATAGTTTCCTTCAGGGCGGGCGCTGGCTCCTCGGCACCAGGCGCGGGTTTCTCAATCACTGGGATGACTCCTTCCACCAGTGCCGCCTCGGGAAGAGAAACGGGCTCAGGCTCAAAAGCCTCCTTGCCCTTGGTCAGAGTTTCGGGTACCTCCTCGACCATGGCCCCTTGTGGTACAACCTCCGGTTGTGGTTGACTGTTTTCGGAGGGCTGCTGAATTTCCTCTTGCAGCTGTACGGGCGTCTCCTCAGCGGCGGGCTTTTCGACCACAGGCGCCTCAGCAACGGGCTCCTTACCGGCAGCCTCCTCGGGGTCGAGCACTTCTTCAACAGTGACGGCTTTGGGTTCCTCTACCGGGTCAGGCATTGTTGATACGGGCTTCTCGATGGTCGACTCCTTGATGGGGGTATTTTCTGGTTGTGCGGCGTCCTGGGGAATTTCGAGGGGAGGCTCGGGTGTTTCCTCAGTGGGTTTTGAGTTACCCTCGGGAGCGGGTTCGCGAACCTCCTGTGCAACCTCACTGGCAGGCTCAGGTGCCTCATGCGTAAGTTGTTCAGTTTCAGTGGACAGAGGGGGCCCCAGTTCTTCAACCTGGGGTTCAGCAGCATCGGCCTGTGCATCCACGGGTTCAGTTTCCTGGACTGGTGTAACAACCGGCTCCAAGACACTTGGCGCAGGCACCTCGACTTCGGTTGACGGAGGGGCTGTGGACTCTTCGGCATCTGCTGCTGGGGTTTCGGCCAGAGTTGCTGCTGGTGCTGACTCTTCAACCTGTGGTGCTGGTTCTTCGCCTTTTGTTGGTTCTTCGATCGTTGCCGGCTCCTCAAACATGACGTGATCCTCAAGGACAGGGGCCATGGGCTCAGAAGTAAGCTCCGCATCGTGCTTAGCAGCTCCCTTCTTCTTCTTACCAGCCACCTTCTTGAGTGAGTAAACATGAGGCTCCCCGCCCTCGTCATCAGCCAGACTACCGGCGCTGGTCTCGGAGGAGAGGCCCAGAGAGGAGACGGTGTGGGAGGACTCGGAGACGATCGACTTGCGGCGCTGCAGAGACTGGTTGTCGTCGCCCGATATGAGGGAGTGGGCATCGCCGTCGCCGTACTCGGACGGCGGTTCGGTCTCCTCCACCACGGTGCTGAGCTGCTTGCGCTCTCTTGGGCGGCTCTCGTAGACGGGGACCCCGTAGGTGGGGACCGCGGCCGACTGTGCTTCCGGAGACTCTACGGGCCATGGTTCTGCCTCGGCCTTGGGCTTCTTCCTCTTCTTCTTGGACTTATTGAGAAGGCTGTAGGGTGAGCGGTCCTCCTCGGGCAGGAGAGGCATGTCCTGGGATGTGGAGTCGGATTCGGAATCTGAGTCGGAGGGAGTCGAGGGCCGCTCGCGCAGGCTGGTTGGTTGGGCCTCATCCGGTGGAGTGCCAATTGGAGATGCAGATGGCGCTAGGTGTTCACCTTCGGGACCTATAACTATAGCCTCGTAAGTTGGGGGTTCGCAGAGTGCTCGCAGGGAAAGAATCTCACTCTCGGTCGATTGGGCCTCAATGTCCTTTCCCGTGGATGATTGGGTCTCATCGACGGCGACCCGATACACCGAAGGTTCTTGAACTCGCTCAGTGGACAATTCCGAGTCTTGACCGTCGTGAATTGTATTGTTTTCCTGACCGTTATTTTTATTCTCCCATGATTGAGATGCAGCGGGCTCGAGGCCAGGCTCCCGGGTGACGACTGGTCCCTGTCCCTGCTGCAGGTGGTTGGCGGCTGGGGTGGTTGTTATTGGCCCAGTCTCGGCGCTGGCTGCACCACTTGGCACTGGTTCAGTGGTGCTCTGGGCGGTGTGTAGTGGGGTTGCATCTCCAGAACCGAGTCCCAGATTGTCACCTTGTTCACCCGAAAGTGGCCCTGTCGGCTGCTGCATGTTTCCCGGTTCGGCCTCAGTATGCGGGAGGCTCTTTTTAGATTCATTGGAAGATGATGGATATGATGGATATGATGAAGATGATGATGAATCGTCAATTGGAGATTCTAAACAAAATACAAACGTCAGCTCATGAAGTGACTGACTACCCGACTTTTAGGTAGTCCGGTTTGCCCATCTCGACTCACTCTCATCCAAAGCCTCCTCCTCCTCCTCCATCCTTGAGTGTGATCCACCTGACACCAGAGTGTGCTGCTGATCCATGTCGGGCATTCCGTGCAAAGTCTCATTGTCCACCCGTTGTTCCGGGGACCGAGAAGGAGAGGCGGGTTCCTGCAGCGGCTCCACGTCAGAACCAGCTCCAGACACATCGCGGGTATCAAGCAAGGGGACAGTGACACCGACTTGAGTGCTGGGGCTCTGGGACTCGGCTTGGGCAGGCCGCTCAACAACAGAGTCGCCGCTTTGCGGGGGAACCGTGGGGACATCGGAGATAGAGTCCTTCGAGTCCTGGGTCTTCTGGTTGTTGTCGTCCTCACCTCTCGCATTGGAGGATCCCAGATGCTCCTCAAGAGGCTCGGCGAAACTGACGCTCCGCCGTTTCTTCTTTTTGTCCTTACCCTTTGCGATTGTGGGTGCGTCATCCGCGTCCGGCGCTGGGAAGGGGGCAGTTTCGGGTTCAGCTTCGGGCTGTCGAGTCGGCGCTTCCGGTGCTGCTAACGACTCCGGCTCCGGCTCCGGCTCCGGTTCGGGGGGGCCATCCGTAACGGGCGCTGGCACCGCATCCTCAGACGTTGACGGCTGCGCAATGGTCTCAGGGGTCTCGGTCTCGACAGCCAACGATCCGCGTTTTTTCTTCTTCTTCTTGGACTTTTTGCTGCCGGTCGCAGGTTCTTGGGTCCCCTCAGGTTGCGTGCTGCCGTCTCCTTGTGGTGTCTGGGCATCTTCAACCGATGGTGACTGCGTGGCAGGGGGAGCCTCTGGCTGGAGTGAGTCCGGAGTGCGTGCGGCGTTTGGCTTCTCAACTGGTGCGGGTATGCTTTGCTCAGCGGCAGCTTCGGCTGGAGCCTCGGCCGTGTCCTGGCTGGCCTGCTTCTTTTTCTTCTTCTTGCTCTTCTTGCTTGAAGGCGCTGGCTCGGGCTGGGACTCAACTTGCGGCGCCTCGGCCGGAGCAGTCTCAACAACCGGCTCACTAGGGGCGTTCTCCCCTTGAACCTCAGCCGCGGGAGGTTCTGGCGCTGTCTCTGGGACAGCAGGTTCCGAAGCGGGCTCCACGGCGGGCACTTCCTCGGCCTCAACCACGGCCTGCTTCTTCTTCTTGCCCTTGGCCTTTTTCCCCTTTTTTGCAGCAGGCTCAGCCGGAGTGTCTTGATCAGCGCCCTCGCTGGTCACTGCCCCAGGCTCCGTGGCCACAATGGGTCCAGGATTGGCCTGGGGTGCAGGGAGGGGATCTTCGTGGCTAGTCTCGGCAACAGCCGGCGGTGCGAGTTCCGGTGGAGGCGGCGTATCCTCTGCTGGGTCTTGGAGAGCTGGTTCAGCCTCCTTAGGCGTGTCCTTCTGCCCCTGCCCCTCGCCCTTCTCTTCCATGGCATCGGCTGTTTCGACGGCGTCATCAGCGGCAACAGGAGCTTCGACAGTTGGCTGTTGGGTATCGTTCGATAATTCAAAGCCCTGGGACTGGCCTGGCGACTGAAGTGCGATTTTGTCTGGCTGCTCATCCTCTGTCCCCTCGCGTACGCCGTCAGTGCTACCCACCACATCGTTCTCGAGGCGTGATGCTTCCGAAAGTGGCGTCGTTTCATCGACCGGATTGAGTGTGAGGATTACAGGGGCTGGGGTTTGCTCGTTTGGTGTCCAAACAGCGGTGTCTGCAGCAGCGTCCGCCGTGTCGGCCCCTGATTTGTTGTTGTCAGGGGGTTCATGCACTCCGGTCGCACGCCCCACATCGGGAATTTGGCGGCTCGATTCGCCTAAATTTGGGGGCGGGAGTGGGATCGACTCCAATGATTCGTCGTTGTGCTCTTGTTGTTGTTGTTCTGCATCCTGCATCGGAAGTGCATCACGAGATGACTCTGGCTCCGGCTGAACCTCAGCTTCCCGCTTCTCGGGCTCTTGATGCTGCTTCTCCTGGATAGCGTCCCCCTTCCCTCTGCCAAAAAGAGAACCGACGCCGCCGGTGATGGAAGGAAGTATCGAGAACGAAGAGCCCCAGAGGCCCTTCTTTGTCTTAGTCGGCTCAGCTGGCGCGGCTTCAGCTTCCGGCAAGCTTCGGGTGACACGCTCGCCTTGCTCGGGCTTAACACCTGCAGGTGCGGACGAAACGGGCTGTGGTCGAGGGCCCTGCTCAATCGCTGCATCTCCCGGGGTTTCCCGTACAACCGTAGCCTCACCGCTGCTGGGCGGGACAGCGTCCGCCTCCAACAACTCGCGTGGCTCCACGTGCTGAGGTGCTGCAGAGTCTAGCCCGATCTCTTGCAGAGTTGCAGTCGAGTGAGACTCCGATGTGAGACCCGCGCTGTCGGGTCCGAGGGTACTTGCAGCTGACCGGGGGTCATGCTGGGGCTCCAAGCTGGCATCTCCCTTCTTGGCCTTTTTCTTTTTCTTGCTTTTCTTGCTGGGCGCAGGGGTGCTCTCGTGACCTTCGGGCTTGTCGGTAGACCCAGCTGGATCTAGCGCAGATGTCTCGGCGGTGGTGAGCTGCGGCTGGTCGTTGGTGGCCGCATCAACCTGGGCGGTGGGTGCGGAAGCCAGGGGCCCGGGATGAGATTCGCTAGCTTGACTCTGTTGATTCTCAGCCTGAGATTCGATCCGGGAATCATCCTTCTTGCTGCTCTTTTTCTTGCCCTTCTTGCGCGTGCTTGAAGTCCCCTCTAGTGTATGCGGCTCAACCTCTTGCTTCCCCTCAACAGCAGCAGCAGCAGGTTGACCCGTACTGGTATCGGTCGGTGTCTCTCCCGAATCGTGGTTGTCCCTCACTTCGGGGAGAGGTTCAAGAGAAGGAGCCCTCGCAGTAGCCCACTCATCTGCCTGGTCTTGGAACTTCACGCCTCTCTTGCTCAGAAGATATGCGAGCGTACCAGGTTTTGGCGTTGACTCCTCCGGTTTTCCAGACTCGGACTGCGGCTCGTAGAATGTCGAACCGGACAGGTAGGTCGGTGCTTCAGACGCTGCAACGGTGGAGGCGTCTTCATTAAACGAGTAGACACTCTCAGCCCTGTCGTAGCTCGGCGTTTGCAGTTTGTCGTATTCAAGGCGTTGCAGGTCAGGCTGCGAGTCGTCATGACGCATGTGAGCAACGAGAATGCCACTTGCCGCTGCCCCACCCGCGGCAGTTGCCGTAGCACCAAGCAGATTAGATTTTCCTTTCTCCGTGGGCTCCGAAATCTCTCGTTTGTCGAAACCGCGGGTCGCCGGGGGGCTCGGTATCCGTTTATGGAACCCGGATTTCTTGAGCTCCTCCCATGTTGAAGCAGGTTGGTAAACCCGACCAGAACGAGGTCCTTCTGAAGGTCTCTCGGCAAAGTCCCGTTCTTGGATCGTAGACTCTTGGCTAAAACTCGGCCGAACCTTCTTAGTGGCAGGTGTCTGTTCGCCTTCAGGGACTGCAACCGTTGAGGACTCGGGGAGCACGGCCGGTGATGTTGGGGGCTGAGTAGGAGTGCTGGGGCGGCTCTCAGGAAGTGCGGGCAAAGCCGTCACATTTTGTTCAGGGCTCCGCTCCTGGGTGATGTCTTCAACGACAGGCTGGGAATTGATAACCTCAACCAACTCTGTGTCTCTCTGAACGGGGGAGTCCGGGCGACTGTCTGGCAGTGCGGGCAAAGCCGCCAGGTTTGGTTCGGAGCTGTGCTCTCCAGAAATGTCTTCACCGGCGAGCTGTGCCTTCACAAGCTCGATAAACTCTGCGTCTTTCTGCACTGGGGAGTCGGGGCGACTTTCCGGCAGAGGCGGTAGCTCGTCTGAATTTGGCTCGAAGTCTTGGTTTTGCGTGGAGATAGTCTCGATGATAGGCTGGAAGTCGACGACTTCAACCGGAGCAATATCGGCTACAACAGGTGAGTCAGGCCGGCTTCCTGGGAGTGCAGGCAACTCCTCCGAGTCTTCAATGGAACGCCGGCCCTCTGCTAGTGTGGCGTCCTCAGCGACAGTCTCGGCGGGAAGAAGCGAGGTAGAAGGCTCAGTGGTGGGAGCAATTGGGAGCTCTACCGCAGCGGGCGAACTAGGGCGGCTCTTCGGTAGTGAAGGCAGCTTCTCCAGGTCTTCAACAAAGCTCCGCTCTTGTGCCGATGTAGTATCCTCAGTGATGAGCTCAGTGGGCAAAAGCGAAGCAGAAGGGTCAGTGGGCCCGAGCTCTCTGTTAGCGGGCGAGCTAGGGCGGCTATCCGGAAGTGCAGGCAGCTTTTCCAGGTCTTCTACAGAGCTCCACTCCTGCGCCGGTGTTGCTTCCTTAGCGATAACCTCAGCGGGAAAAATTGATGTGGAAGGCTCGGTGGTGGAAGCAGGCGCGAGGTCTATATCAACAGGCGAACTAGGGCGGCTCTCCGGAAGTGAAGGCAGCTTTTCCAGGTCTTCGACAGCACTCCACTCCTGCGCTGGTGTTGTTTCTTCAGTAATAGCCTCAGCAGGAAGAAGTGAGGTGGAAGGCTCAGCGACGGGAGCAGGCGTCATCTCCAATTCAGTGGGCGAACCGGGGCGGCTATCCGGAAGGGCCGGTAAATCCTCAAACTTCAGTTCGCGACTCGGAGTTTGCGCAGCAAACCCTTCCGCCTGCTCGGTCAGAGACGGCAGGGGCGCGGTAACGGGAGCGAGAACTTCCACGGAAGGCGAGTCGGGGCGGCTTTCGGGCAGGGGCGGTAGGGCCTCTGGTTCCTGAATGAGATCAAGTCCGCGGGGAACAGGAGCTTGCTCAATTTGCTCGGCTGCCGAAATAGAAGGGGCGGAAGATTCCAAGGGCTCAGGCGGAGCAGCCAGCTCCTCAATAGGAGAAAGGGGTCGGCTCTCTGGAAGAGGTGGGAGCAAGTCCATCCTGCCGTCAACTGGCAACGAGATGGAAGCAGGCAACTCCTGAACATGCGAAAGTGGCCGGCTCTCAGGAAGAGGTGAAAGCGACTCTAGCTTATCACCGATCGCCAAGACGGGCGTAGGACCTATTTCCAATGGAGCAGGCGAGGCTGGTTGACTCTCACGGAGGGCTGGGAGTGATTCCAGCCCATCGTCGACTGGCCGGGAAGTAGGAGCAGGCAACCCCTGAAGAGGCGAAACTGGCCGGCTTTCAGGGAGAGCCGGGAGCAGCTCCAGCCCGTCGTCGACCGGTAGATATGCGGGAGTTTGAACCACTGTCGATAAAACAGGCGAGGCAGGTTGGCTTTCGGGAAGGGGAGGCAATTTGTTCAGTTCACGATCAAACCTTTGTTCTTGTACCGGAGCGGGTAGTGCAGCACCGAGTTCATCCTGGAAGACCGGGCCCGTCAACAATTCAGGCGCCGGGGCCAAAGCGAGGGCTTCATGAACAGGAGAACCGGGGACGGTTTGCGGGAGAGGCGGCAGCTGGTCGAAGTCGACATCCGTGGCCGGAGAAATCAAAG